TTTGGCCTATCAGTATTTGATATAATTTTATTAGAATTAGAATTTGTTAAATACTTATGATATCTGAACTCATTATAGGAATACCAATAAAATTTTTTCTTAAAAAACTAATTTTCAATATAAAACTGGTGGACAGAGATTAAACTCTTGGACAGAGGTATGAATAAATAGACAGCTTAGATCATCATACTTTAAAAAAACCCTAAAACGCATTGCATTATTTTCATTTTGATACAATTAGAAGGCATATAGTAATTTTACCAACTCATAAAAATGCATTATATGCAATATAATGCATTTCGTCCAACGTTTTGGTCCGTGGGATATGTAAATAGAAGAGATCCATATGTGATCTTTCATGCGTTTCAACTTTAAAATAACAGTAAACAGATTTTATTTAGTCTATGCATAGTTCTAATAGATGTTAATTATGAAAATTATAGCCAATAAAATAACAATGTAGAGAATTTATATGATATTGACCGCTCATAATGTATATCACGTGTGTAGGTTCGAGGTAAATAACCGCAGTAATATATGAGAAATATAAATATATGCATTTTAATAATAACTCATATTACAATAAATGAGGTTTGGATATATCAATGTAGATATATTAACCCAATACAAAAATAAAATCAAATATATAGTGTTTAAAACTCTGATTTATAACGGATGATTTGTTGAAATTACTTTCCAATTAAACTCCTTTAAGCAGCAGTAATGAAAATTTTACTTACTATAATTAAATATATGATTTTTATTGAAAGGTAAATTTATCATACTGTTTTTTAAACGAAGTTCTACAAGCTCGATAAATAAATTATTTTATATATCGGTTGCAGTAGTATGAAATCAGATTGTGACAAAGCTTAAGCTTTTTGGGAAACAGGGAGGAGGGCGGTACAAAAAGGTTAGATGCCACTGGATAAATAATATGTAATATTCCTAGTTACATTAGAGAATTAATCTTTAAATATCTAGAACCTACAAAATTCGCAAATTTCAAACCATAGTAATCACCAGCAAAATATGACATAGTACAAGAGTAGTACACTAATCATAACGGATGTTCTACTGAACTAGATTGGTTCTTGTATTAGATATAATTTGTTACAAAAACTCTTTTTCCGTTACAAAAACAGAGCATGCAAATTATCATCACACCAAGCAGGTGTAATTTATGTTAATAATAGCATAACATATACAGAATAGAATCGCATAATTTTCTACGACGCAATTTCCTGAGGAAAATGTTTTGCTTTCGTTAGAAACAACATTCGAAAACGACAAGAAATAGGTTTCCTGAAGGTTTTAGAGAAAATTTGCTGCAAGTGAAACGCCAAATTAATAGTAGAAAATGGAGCAATAATTATTATAGTAGTAAAGACTCCAAAATCATTTTAATAAAAGAACTAGTATTTGTTAAAAATGATACATTAAAGCAGTTTATGGGATTTAACTAACAATAAGAAATAATGATATATCTCATTATTTTTAATTGCGCTTATGAATTTAATAAAATAAAAATTTGAATAAGGAGGCGTCCTTTAGTCACATGATCGATTTTTTAAGGATTTTGGAACCCCCCCCCCCCTTTCCCTTGGTTATATGTGGTTTTACTGAAAATTACACCCTTCTCCTGTGTTTTTAGTTATGAAAATAATCGTAAAATTTTTTATTTTTTTTGAAAATGTTTGGATTTTATTTAAAATTCAGCTGAATTCGTTCCCTCACGTAAAATTTCGAGATTTTTTGTCAAACCCTCTCTGCCCCTAAAAGCCTCACGAGATTAAACACATATGAAATAAAATTAAATTAGACATTGATGAATAAAAAGTGGTTGTATGAATAAAGACCGAGTACCGCAGGGATTTTAATACAAACTATTTTATTTCAATTACCGTCTTGTTACAAAAAAAAATAATTACATAATCGAATAATTACTGAATATATAACATATTGATCTGCCAAGAATAATAATCAAGGTCTGCCTTTAATAATTCGCAAATTCAAGGTCTTTAAATGTTTTGCAGATCATAAGAGAACGCTCTAAAATTTAACAAAAGACTGGACATGACTCATGTAAAATGATCTAAAAATCCACTTCCTGGTTCAAATTGATTTGGCTGCTAAATATGACTTGTTATGAATTAAATAGAATATATTAGTTCTTGAACGCTGTATAATAAGTGATAATTATGTTATTTAAACACATAAAAACTGATTGACGTAGATTATTCAGTGCAAGAGTTATTCATTAAACAATAAACATGTTTTTATGAAATAATATGGAACAAGAGAGCTGGGGGCTTACAGTTATATATGTGTCTTGTCGATAAAAATATTTTTAATTTCAATAACTTTAAAGATTATAGAAACTACAAATAATATGGAAATTATGTATTTCAATAAACTTACGTATCGTACAGCACAAATGTTTTATTTGTTTTATTATTCTCATTATAATAATTTAGGGGAGGCAGCGTAAAATATTCTTCTGATTCAGGCACTTTTTGATGAATCAAGATTTGTACTACGATGTTACCCTAAAAATTAATGACATTCCGAATAATGCTCCACGGTAACGCATAAAACATACGCCGATACAACGAAAGATCTCTATTCACTCGACACGACGACTAATCACAATCGACCCGTATAGAAATGATTTCATCGAGAGCGAATGACGAACATGTTTGGCGTAATAGACTTCATTAGTAATTCAGTCGATAAACTGTGGTACTTTGTGTCAATATCTATCCATATCGTACCTACTATAGAATATAATTTTGACTTTGATGATTTTAGTAACTAGGGTACTTTGTATCTATGCCTTTGTGACTTTTATAAAAAATCACATTCAAGATCATAGTGAAAATTCAAGTTCCCATCATTGCTGGTTTCTTTTCAAAACGTAATGTTCATGTTTTTAACTTCCGCCGTAAAAATGTTTGGGCAACAAATAAAAAGTTCTTAGGATTATTTTTTGTTAACTGTAAGATATTGTTCGTGCGAGAAAAGAGAAAGTTTAATGTATTCTTAATCAACGCGTCTGTGAATAACAAACATACACATGTATTATATAAAAAGATATAATAGATATCGTTTTCTAAATATTAAATAAATACGTTGTTTCATCACAATTAACTGAATATATGCCAGTCAAATTATTCCTAAATGTTATGCTTATGAAATTTTTATAATTTTACAATTATTTATATGCATTATCATACTACAAGATCAATTTGTAGACATTTTAATTATATAGTTTGCCAATATACTATTTTGTCTGTGCCATGAAGAAATAAATTGATAGATGATTTATATAAAAATGAAAATAATATATAGTATATCCCTATACTACAGGTTTAAGTATCCATTTACTCTTCTTAAACTAGACTCAAATATGTTTCCTAATTAAATTTATCCTTTAGGTCATTGCTGAAATATTGAAAATACCTATTAATAATCTCATCAAATCTCACAAATAGAAACGCCAATCACTGGATAGCCTTTTATAGAAATTATGTCAGATATATGGAAATGGGTAAATTTATAAAAGAAAATTTTCATCTATATAAAAATATATTAAAATTTCTTGATTAAAAAACTATAGAGAAGCCATGGCAATTTGTTTCTATTAAAATCCGATGCCAAGGCTCACTTGATTCCCATATACTCCTTGCTCAGTGTTAACTTCAAACCAGTTCGTGGATGAACGGAAACACGTTGTATTTATTTGATCACATGGGGGTTACCAATATGGAAATGGATAAATTTATAAAAGATGATTTCCACCTGTATAAAAATATATATTAAAATTTATTGATTGAACTATAGAAATGTCATGACAATTTCGTTCCAATAAAATCCGATGCCAAGGCTCACTGGATTTCCACATATAGAATAAAAATAAAAGTTTTAATCTTCAAAAAAAAATCTAATTCTTAAATCTATTATTTCAGATATATGTAAAAAATCTTCCCACAACAATGGAATCTTGGCTTTTGGATGTCGAACGTGTCAGAATACCAAGACCAAAAATTGGCTGTGGAAAAAGTGCCTTGGTTTCTGGCAAAATGAGGTTGCAATCAGGAAGGCGACCTCAAGAACCTCCAAAGGACTACCATGAAGGTGCCGTGGCACAACTGAGCTCACGAGTAGGCCAAGATATGGAAGACCTGAGAAGATCTTTGGAGGAGAAACTTTGAAAATGTGAAAGAGAATCTTTGATATTGGTGTCTGATTGCATGAATGATGGATGAGAGTATTTAGTTATAAGAAATATATTATTAGCTCATAAAATAAAAGTTTATCCCACAATCATTTCCAAGGTGGATGTATTTCCTATATACATATACCAAAATGGATTACGTTTAAAATGTTTACGATTATCTAAATTTCATAAAACAGGAATGTAAGTGAAATGTAACAGCCAAACCAAATTTGAAAAGATCAATTTTAAAACACATAAAAAAATTACTTTAAATCTGTAATAATTTGAGTTTCAAGTACACTCGCTCCTAAGATTACTCAATAGGTGTATTATAACACCAGTATATCCATAATAGTATTATCTGTACATAAAAATATCTAGATATAATCTTCGACTATTGTAAGAACTAACATTAAATTATATAACACCATATGTATGATTACAACAGTAAATTGTAATTAAATTCTAATAAAATTTATACATTAAAAAGTGAAAATATGATTTTTATTTTTATAGCTCTAAGAATTGATTAGTTTATATGTTTATGGTGTAAGTAAATTGATTATGAAATATAGATTAAATATTGCTAACTTATATAGAGCGAAATAGATAATGAACGAGTTAAGGTAGTAAAGAGATATAAATTTGTTTAAATATAAAAAATACTAGAAAAATTATTTCTGCTTAAACTTCTTCTGGCTTTTTAGAAGGTAGTCTATAAACAAACTAGAAATATTTCATTTTTCATTATTAGAATTTATCTAATCTGCTTATATCCTTCTCAAATATTAATGCACAAACGATGACAAAGGAATATTTTTACTTTGAAACTAATTTTTCATCTATATTTTCAAATAAAATTAGGTAGCACTACTGTTTGATATCAAGCTGCTCATGACGATCATAAATTTCTACTAATTTCTCAGTAATTATACGGTATTTATAGTGATCGATTCTTTGAGTTTGAATCCGGATATCAAACCAATCACATTTTTGGCCCATAAAAAAGTAATTCTGTAACGAGGTCATATGTAATAAAACCTATAAACACACCTATATAAAATTTAACACCATATTAGGTATAAGTCAGTTATCGAGGTCAATGACGTATTATGGAAGACTATTACAGAAATGTCAAGTTTGAATTTGATGTTTCGTGCTCTATAAATCACAAAAGTGATAGAGATACAGTATTAGTGTTAAATTTACTATTGTTTGGAAGCCAAGAATATAGTGAAAACCGATAAATTCTTTTTCTAGGAATTTCAAACGAATAAATTTCTTAAGAAATTCGTATTTATCTCATGAAATTTATTGCTTTGTTTGTCACATTATATGGAATTATATGGATCATAGTTTTTGCACGTTAAAAATGTAGAGCTTTCAATTCCATTTTTTTCAATCTCGTTTACGTATTATTTAAATCAAGATAAATTTTTATTCTGTTGTTTTAGAACAGGGTGCTGCTCTACAAACTGCTCTAAACAGTGCTAATTTTCATTTGTGAACCTATTGAAACGCAACCCAAAGGTCGTTCTTTGGTAAACGTTGTCTATAGTTTCAAATGAAAAATAATATCACTACTATTAAGGTGACCATATTTTTCAAGTCAAAACCGGGAATTTGTGGGTGTTAGGGGTGTTGGCTTCAAAATATCAAATGCTTCTTAAGGATACACTAATATATCAGTTTTTTATATGAATCTTTTTTTCTAATCGCAATTACGAACTTTATTATTTAATTATATGTAATACTCTCTTATCTATGTTTTATTTCTATGGTTTTATGTTTTTGAGCCTTGTATACAATTCTATCCAATTTTCTCCATAATTATTTTGAGAAAGGAACACAAGGTGAAAATCTGGGACTGCCAAACCAGGTCACCTTACTAGTATTTGATATCGAGACGCAGGCTAAAACCAAGATTTCTTATTGAGAATTAAAGCTTGCAACCTGAATTATAAAATTGTATATTTTTTTGAAGACTTTGTAAACAGAATTATTTTTCTTCAAAATAATTCCATAATTTGCATCTTCTTAAAATTCTACTGGTTATTAATATACGATAATTCCGCATCTTTCTAATTATAGTCTTAGGTATAATCTAACATATCCAAAATGAAAATTAACCAGTAAAACTAACCAATCCAGTTAAACTGCATTTAACAATCAAACAATAACTCTGATATTGATCATCTAATACAGTATCAAAATAAAACTTTGAAGAAACATGTAGATCCATCTATAACTAGTTTTTAACTCATCTTTCAAGTAATAGCTTATGAAATCCTATGTGAGTTTAAACCGTACTTTACAGAAATTATCTCTCTTTACTAGGATGAAATGAGATATAATTTTTCATGTGCTTAATACATCATTGATCATTAGCTAAATTAACACAGGAAGATTAATGAGCATCTTCATTACTTCAACTTTGCTCAGAGCTCAATTTGCATAGACGATTATGTGCTCGTTATGTGTGAACTATTTATCAAATTTCGCAGATGTGATAGAATACTATTAAAGGCAAATCTAACCAAATTTAAAAAAATGGTATATTATGAAATATTAGAAATTATACCAAATACATGCAATTGATATTCTGACGACATGGCATAGAGACGAATCAACATTTATAAAATCACAAGAAGATGTATTCTCAGTGGAACTGGATCGCAATTAAATTTTTGTTTTATTTTATTCGTATGTTAATTAATTTGCGACATTAATTTATAATCAGATTGATTAAGCGGACCACATTGTAGCTTACGATAAATTTGTATCATGCCAACAAGATAATATAATCAATATAAAAATAATATACAATGAATTACTATAAAGTTAATTAAACTGATAGCTTACCATCCCAAACGTATAAGATGTATCAAAAATAGCTAATATATATTAACAGATAATAAATATTAACGCAGTTAAGATTAAATACGTGTATTTAATAGTGCATATTATAGTTAAAACAATTAAATTTGTTACCAAAGTGATTTTTTTGTTTAGATGATGATAATCAAACATTGAATGACTTCATATTTAGTGCTTAATATACATTATTTTAAATAATATTATTAACTTTTCGTAGGGTAAGTTATCATAATTGTCAAAAAATCGAAATTGAAAATTTTTGCATATCTTCACAATGTTTCTGAACGTTTTGGCATACCTCATAAAAAATTAATGTTTGCGTGTGTGTCCGCATTTTTTGTCCACGTTTTGGGCGCACGGATCAACCGATTTGAATCGTTTGAAAAAATTATTTCCTATTGATAAGGAGATGTGCTGATTAGTTTTTGGCAAAGGCGGGTCCAGCCAATACGGAAATACGGGGCATAGAGTTTTTCTGCACTTAGTTATTGTAATCGTCCAAAAATCAAAATTGAAAATTTTTACATTTCTTCACGTTTTGAAGGTTTCTGAATATTTGGACATACCTCAGAAAAAAATGATGTGAGTGTGTGTGTGTGTATAAATGTATGGATACAAATTTTCGTCCACGATTTCGGGCGTACGATTTAACCGATTTGAATGGTTTAAAAAACATTCGATTCCTATTGATAGGGAGATGTGCTGGTTAGTTTTTGGCAAATGCAGGTCCAGCCGTTAAGGAAATACGGAGCAAAGAGTGCAGGAAATAGAAATCGAGTTTTTGAGAGGACGGAGTATCCGATTTGAATGATACAAAAAACATTCAATTTGTAATGATTGGGAGATTGTGGTGATTAGTTTTTGGCAAAGGCAGGTCGAGCCATTTAGAAGATACATAACTAAATGTACAAAAAATGGCAATTTTTTAATTTGAATGATTCAAAAAACTTTCTGTTTGTGTTTTTTTGTATATCGAAAATAATTCAGAGTTATTTTAATTTTAGCTAAAGTTCTAAAGCTCACTTATATACTTTAAATAAATAATTTTAACATTGTAATTCAGTTTATATAATTCTTATAAATATTAGACAATATTACAGTATTTATAATTTATTAATAATCTATTTGAAAAACATTTAATATTACTTATAATAGTAATGATACAATTACTAAAAACAGTTAATTTCATTAATTATCGCACACATAATCCTAATCAAGTACTGCTACTATGTACAACATCCAATTCTGAAGAGTCAATGTAACTCATTCATATAAATTTTATCCAATTAATGGACACTAATTAAATTTAGAGCCGATCCACTTCAGGCATCGATGCACCTCCGGTAATAAATAAAACTGGTTTTGGCGTTCATTAAAAGTTCAACGACATAAAACAAAAATTGATCCTTTATAACTGGATTTTACAACAAAATTATTAATGATTTCCAACTCAGACAGTGGTGTATGGACATGGAATAAAGAAATAAAAAGATAAAGGTCTTAAAAAATGAAAATTGAAGTCTATAAATACCTAGTGTGTTATAAAAAATTAAGCAAATTGGAAACTTTTTTTTTAATTACATTGTTTATTACAACTGTTAAATAGTTAACATCTAGTAATATTGATAAATAGTAACATAAATTTAAATAAATAAGAGAGCAAAGGATAGAATTTACATAAAAATAATATCCGTAGTATGATGATTTAATATAAAATAAAAGCAAATAATAATAAAAATAAAATTAATAAATGATATAAATAAAATTTCTGAATAATAAAATAATACTAGAAAAGCAATAAAATTGGAAACTTGGCAAATGATCACAAATTTAAAATTTTAATTTAAAATGTTTTTTTTAATATTTTGGCATATTTAAAGCTTTAAAAATAGAGTTTTTTAGAATTATCAAACGTTTCTAAACTTTATGAAAATTTTGCTAGTTTTGATACGTATGATATAAATTTTTATGCTTTGATATAAATAGCCATGAGTTTAAAGTAAAAAAGCAAGTTTTTAAAATTTTAAGGAACAATACCTTGCATGCATTAAATAATTAAATATATTTGAGGACAAATATCTTCAAAATATTTTATTTTTATTTTTGCTAGTTTTAACAGTCAGATTACAATATAATCTACTCGTATAAGTTAAAAGTGAGGGTATTGAAAATCAAAATCAAGAAAAAAAAGAGTAGAATAAATTAAAGAAAAAAATAGAATTAAATAAATGAG